GGGTTAGTAGTTTTAGACATTGAAGTTTTGAATGAGCAAAAAAAAAAATCGAAAAATAAATTTTATCGAGTGCCTCGTATATTGGAGCGATGCTCGATCAGCTCATGGAAGCTCTCTTAAGAATTTTATATCTATTTCATGGTTTAACTGTTATAGTGTTTTTTTTACTCACGATTTCATTTCCGAAAACTTTCAAAGAAACTTGGTTCTTCATTTTGATTTTTTCTGAGTTGTCGAATTTAACTTTTCTGACAGTAGTACCTATACATACACCCATAATTTATTAACTTATCGAGCAAATATGATAGTTCCTGAACACTAATTTTTATACTGAACAAAAGAGTAACTTTTTATTGAGAGGAAAATTTTTATTGAGAGTTTAGAAAAAAAATACTCAAAATTTATAAAAAAAAATACTGAGTATTTAATGTTTTGCGATAATGATTTAAATGCGGAATGAACTTTGAAGTTTAATGTCAGCCTTATTAGCAGATGTTGAAATCCAAATGGTATAAATACCAGGAGCAACAGTCCAATGTTGATTAATAACATTCCAATATGAAATATCTTTTTGTGTTAATATTAATGTTACACGTTTTGATTCACCTGATGCTAAATATACTCTTTCAAAACCTCGTAATACTTTTGGTGGTTGTTGTGCAGTAGCTGGAAATCCAAGATAAAGTTGAGGTACTTCTGAACCATACAAATTACCAGTATTAATAATAGTAAATGTTATTTCATAGACAGGCATATAAATTTTTGAAGCAATAATATTATTATAAGGTCTGATTCGATTTTGTTGATATTGTGATGAAACAATACATTGTTCTCTTTTACAATTTGAAATATGAAGATGAGAGAATGAAAATGCTGTATATGAGAGAATGAAAATGCTGTATATGAGAGACCATATCCAAAATAATATCGAGGTACAATATTATATTTATCAAAATGACGATAATCTAAGAAAACACCTTCAGTATAATCAGAATTTTTTGTTACACTAATATCGGTACCATAATCCGAATCTTTTTTAGCCAATGTAAAAACAAGTTTACCTCCTGGATTATAATTACCAAAGAGAACATCAACAATAGCTGGTCCATATTCAGAACCAGGCATACCTGAATAGATAACACCAACCACATTTGGAAGATCAATCCATGCTTCAATATTAACTTGTGAAACACTATTAATAATAACTATTGTATTAGTACAATGAGAAGCAACAGTTTGAACAAGTTTATCACCATTATTAAAAGAATTAAGATTTATTCTATCTGCTCCTTCAGTTGACCAAGCACTAATGAAAACAAGACATTTTGCATTAGCAAAACCACGAAAATTGAATGAATCATTAATAGAATTATAATCATTTTGATTAGTAATATAATGAATATTAAGATGTGAATCTCGTCCTTTAATCAAAAGTGCACTAAGAGGATCAATGGCATATGTTGGATTAACAAAAGCTGAACCTCCACCTTGATATAATGCACCTGTAGGTCGTTTTGAAAAAGCTACAAATATATTTGAGCTAGCAGCTTCACTAGATTGACCTGCTGCTGCTCCATAAATAAAAAGATATTTATCTTTCTTAACATTAAATGGTAAAACATTATTTTTATTTTTAAGTAAAATAATGCCTGCACTACTAATTTCTCTATTAATCTTATAATGATCTCCAATAAAATCTCGATCTAAATCAATTGATGGATATCTTTCATCTTGTTTAAGAAGATAATAAGGTGTTACAATTCGAGTAATCATATCATCAATTCTTCTTTCTGAAATCAATCCATTTTTAACAGCTTGTAAAAGTGAAAAACCCAAAAATCCATCATCACCTGGCATATCAACATCTAAACCAGCTAAAACTGATTCTACACCAGTTCTTGTTGCATACCAATTAGATACAACATTACCAGAAAATTGAAGTTCTTCTTTTAAAATTTTATTTAATATTTTATCATTTTGACAAGCTTGTGTACCATTTATTTCATTATATGAACACATAACAGAACCTACACCAGCAGCTACACTAGATGCAAATGGCCAAAGATAAATTTCATGTATTGTCTTATCATCAACATTAGCTGAATAACCTTTGGATTTAATTGCATCTGGTATACTTGGAAAACCTGTTAGACCAAAAAAACGATTAGTTTCTTGTTCATTACAAATATAATGTTTAGCAGTTGCAATAACATCTTGATCTTGTACACCTTGAATATAATAAAATGAATTTTCTCCAGCAAGATATGGATCAGCACCAAATCCTTCCCAATTACGACCATTTCGAGCATTTCGATCAAAATTCATCATTGGACCTAAAATAACATTCACTCCTTTACCTCGAAACTCTTTACCTACTGCAACAGCACGTTTATAGAACAAGTTTCGATCCCAACTAGCTGCTATATGTATACCAGGTGTAAAAGCAGTTGAATGTAAAACACCACCAACACCAGATGGTGAATCATGCAAACATAATCCTTTAAAATTCAGACGTGATACAGGAAAAATATTACCAGCACATCGACCTCCAATACCAGCTGTCATATTGCATTTTTCTTCTAATCTTAATTTTGTAACAAAGGTTTTACTCATAGCAATAGCTTGATCCCATGTTCTACTTGGATGGTTCAAATGATTTTTTGAATGAATATTAATCACAGCAGAATATGTAAATGAAAAACCAACAACAATAATAATTATTATCAATAGATGATTTCCATTCATTTTGATGATAATACTTGACTTTATGCTTTATAATGTAGATTTATATACGTAGAAGAGTATCGAAACAAAAAACAATGTGTAATTATTATTTTATCTAATTCACCTCAATACAAAAAAATAACTTAATACGATAAATTGTATTTTATTATTAGTCAGATCATATATAACATATTCATATTGATAAAAAATTTCTAATACTAAATATTTTTAAGTTTTTCTTACATAGATCATAAATATACTTAAGAACATGCAACTTTTCCAGATACTTATTATGTATAGATACATCAATGGGCAAAAGTCTTCACCTGCATCTATCCTCTCCTTCCTCCAATCATTCGTTTCATATAGAATATTTTCAATTTCAAATGAATGCTAATTACAAGAATACCTGAAATACTTTGATAAAATGTAAAATTGATGACAGTTTGTTTCAATCAAGAATATGCATCTTTCAATATAATTGAGCAACACTTCAAGTATTGATAAAATACTAAAAATATAAATGATCTAAACATTTAGTATTCTATCAATCTATTCATTTCTATTATTGATTAATTCTATTGAATGATGCATATTCTTCATTGAAGCAGATCTTAATCGATATTTACTTGAAACAAATCTAGTTCTATACGAAAACAAAAAACCAATGAGAGAAAAGATGACGGATGGTGCAAAACTTTCTTTCTATTCACTATCATTCTCTATCCCCGCGAAATTCTATTTATTTCATTTTCTCTATGCCACATGGCGAGAGTCAAAACTAAGTAATACGTAAGCAATTATTGTAAATGCCAAAAATAAGAAATGCCTGATTATATACTTGTATGACGACCATCGTCTATCACTGTGAAACAATGGTTGTTTCACTTTCAATCACAGCATACGATGACGATACATATAAATGTATATGTAAGTGAGTATTATACACGTATACATAACAAATATCAGTTTATACATTTGGATTCACAATCATCCTCTACCACAGACAATATATCGTTGCTTGAATTTCTTCCGTGCCATTCGATGGTCATCAACATAATCAGCCGAAACCCATTCGTTACATATTCATGTAAAATACTTGCTTACGTATACATTTGTAAGGACTATCATCATGTACACTGGTGAAATAATCCTTCCTTTAGTTATAACTTACCTATCATACAGAATCATGATCAAGCAGAAATGCAGTCGTAAGCAATTATTACTTACATATAAAAACCAACTACCTACGTATACATTCCTTCTGACTATAATCGTCTATCACTGTCTACTAATATTTGCTTCAGTTATATATATCATACATAATGATGATCAAAGAGAGATGCATACGTAAACAATTATTATTCATATATAAATAACAAATGCCTACCTGTCTCTTTCTCTTGACTATCATGCTCTACCACTGTGTAACTTTGCTTGCTTCATTTTCTC